TTTTTGCGGAAAAGCATCCGTGGCCAATCTAGACGCGCTTTTGCGCAAAAAAGCCCTAATTGCCATTTTCGCGATCAGGGCTTTTTTGCGCAAAACAAATCTTAGCTGTCTACACTGGCCCTTTTGTGCAAAACTTTTGCATAAAAGGGACTTTTGCCCGAACGGGAGCAGCATAGTATTTCCGTAAAAAGCACTGATTTCTTACAGTAGGAAGTCAGTGCTTTTGCGGAAATTCAAGCGGCCAGTGTAGACAGCTTGCTCCTCCGCCGGCCAGAGGACCGGATGGGGCCATGCCGCCCGTAATGCGGGCTTCGGCCAGCCCATCACAACAGCCCACCGGGCCAGTCTGCCCCTGCACTTGCCAGCTGGAAAAATCTACTCCCCACAGGCGAGTGCATTTGTAGAGCCCTGGTGATTACCATGGGCGGAATTGCCACCAGGGCACCTGTACTTCTTCCTTTTTCCTCTTCTTGCAAAAGAACTCCCTTTTCCCCATCCATACATGCCTTTTTCTGAAAGAGCTCTTTTGGAAAAAGGCTTCTTCCTCGTAGAAAGAGGTTTACCAATGTTGGAAAAACCCCTCTGTTCTTCCAACTTTTTTTCTGAAAGAATGCAATTGCAGTGTGGATGTAAGTGAAGGGTGTAGACCATACCTATAGTCAGCTGGTGGAACTCTTTGCCAGATGATGTTGTGAAGGCCAAAATTATAGTAGGCTTCAATAAAGAACAAGATAAATTCATTGAAGATGGGTCCATAAAGGGCTAATAGTCAGGCTGTCCAGAGATAGTGTGCATAGGCTTTGGCTTCTAGAAGTTGGGAATGGACGACAGGGAATGCATTTCTTGACGATTATCTGTTCCGTTTATTCTGTCTGCAGAACCTAGCTTTGGCCACTGCTAGAAGACAGGATACTGGGCAAGGATAGACCTTTGGTCTGGCCCAGTATGGACATTCTTATGTTCTTATGTTAATCTAGTATTCTCCCATATAGGAGATGTTTCAAAACTATTCATATTTTGGCACCGATTTTTGTTGACTCATATATTCACTCATATGCATTGCCTCTGAGAGAACATATATGAATGTAATTTGGTCCTTAATTTTACTTACATATAAATGGATATTTCCATAGTGGGGTAGTCTGAAGAAATAAATAGTTGTATCTAAATTTAACATAAAAACTGGTTTGTGGGTCAAAATCTCTTCTTGTTTACACTGACTTCAGTGGAATTACTCTGAATTCATACCACTGTAAATAAGAGCAGAATTTGGCCCTAGTTTTTATTACAATAACCCAATCTCAATTCCTTAGGCTGTAATTTCCTATTTGTGTTCATTCTTGTTGTCATCTTTAATTTTAAGGTAGCTTTGTTTGACTTTCTGCCCTTTCTTCTCTGTGATGCTGGCCTTTAGAAGTACAATATCATAATATTCAGATGGGTCCTTAAACACAAATCCAGAGCAAGCCTGGTTATGACTTTAAAGTGGTGCATTCATGCACCTCACCTTTCCCATCCACCCAAAATATCTATTCTTACCCACTCTACCCTCTCCGGCTGCTGGTGGTCCTGCTTTCCCTCCCCAGTGTCTCTAGGCATGTGGTGTCTGTTTGCTTACCACATCCACTGGTGTGTGGGGAAAAGAACTCTGCTATTCTAGTGAGTAGGCAGGATGACAGCTTCTCACATATTACTGCAGCCAGTGGCTTCCCTGAGAATGGGGCATGGGAAAGGGAATGAGTAGGCAGAGGTGCCAATTGCTGTCTTCTCTATCCACATGTACCACAAGGAACTTCCTGAAGCGAGGGAAAAGTTTTAGCTTTTTCTGCTGGTCTGCTTCTCTCTCTTGTAACCCTGTAAGGAGGTGTACAAACCCCACACTGGGATATAAGGGGTTAAGGAGTAGTTCTGGGACCAGCTAATGCCACCCCACTGCCTGCTGCAGCTGGAGGAAGAGCTTGAAAGGGAGCCAAAAAAATGAGAATGGGGGCAGAGCGGATAGGGGGACAGACCTATCTTGAGAGCTTTTGAAGAAGGATATAACAAAAGTCCTTACTGCAAGGGAGGAGTGTACAAGCAGCAGCTACGCCAGGTCCTAGAAGAGGCGAGGTGAGAGGGCTCTTTCTGTCTTGGGCTAAAGGCTGAAGGAAGTCTGGGAAGCTGAGTTCTGAGCTGGGAGCCTGACTGGAGATGGGGGCTGATCAGGAGCTAAAGCCTGGCTGAACTCTGCATAAAAGGAGAGTGACATACCGTAGGTAGACAGATTGCAATACAGAAACTGGGACCATTGTGAAGCTGGGTTGAACCTGCAAAGAAGATGGCTAGAGGCTGAGCCAAGCTGGGCTGAAGAATCAGGGTCATTTTTACAGTTTTTTATTGGATTTTAAGCTAATAACTCTGAGGTTTGTGAGGAAGCAGGAGGTAGAAAGTGTCCTGTGGAGACATTCCCAAATTGCTCTGGTGTATTTGCTATTATGGCCTCTCTGTGGAGAGAGAGGTTCCAGGCTCTCATACCAGCTCCTTTTCTCTCTTGGACAAGATATAGCCATTTTAAGCTGCTGAGTTAAGAAGGTGCCACCCTCTGGGAAATATACTTTAGAATGACCACAAGGGGATACAAGGAGCTAGAGATAGGGACCGGGCCAGCTATAACCCCATTAGACCAGCAGGGGGGTAAGGCTGGAAACAAGGACCACTATCTACTGTATATTTGAGAGAGTTTGTCTATGTGTCCGTCCATCTGTGTGTGTCTGTCTGACCTCCAGATTCAGGACATGCATCTCTCCCCCGCCTGTGCCCACTACAGCAGCCAGAGAGAGGCGCTTCTCACCTGGCCCCAAGCTGCTGCAGTGAGAAATGACTGGGGTTGTCCTATCTCCCTGAGGTTGCCTGCATACTGAAGCCTTCAGCTCCAACCCTACCCCAGAACAATGGTTTAAACGAAGAAAAACAAAACTTATTTGAGTTAAGGACCTAAGCAACATGAAGTAAAACTTCTAGTTCTCTGTATTTTGTTGGACTCCTTAGAAGGGGAGAACGTAATTGTTTACTTGTCTGGAGCACTGTTTTGCTATCTACTGAAAGGTCAACTAAGCTTCTGGATTGGGGCCCTGTCTAATGGTCAGAGGTAGGGGGTGATTTCAAAGTCTGTCTTATGCTGGTGCTTTACCAGGACTAGAAATTACTCAAGTTAAATGTCCTGATTTCTCACCTGTCAACCTTTGGACAAAATATAAGTAGATGTCCTGGGGACAAAAGGACCAGGCACAAAGTTGTTGCTTGGGCAGCTCCACAGTCAGTTCATTCATCTCTCCTCTCATGCTAATCTTTGCAGAATGCTTTTCTGCCCTTCTGTTAATAGAGCCAAGGGGAGGGAGAAAGACTGGTGGTGGATAGTACAACCTATATTAGTGCTTGTAAGCCAACAGTGCTTGACAGGGTATATCTACACTGCAATGTTATTTCGGGATACTGGAGTATCCAAAAATAGCTATTCCACATCTTCACAGCAAGTCCATTATTTCGGGCTCACTATGATGACGTCCCGGTAAACCTCACTCTACGAGGAGTAAGGGATGTTTCGGAATAGTGCTTTATTTCGAAATGTGGCGCTGTGAAGACAGCACCAAATGCTGAAATAAGCTATTTCTAAATAGCATCAAAATAAGATACACAATTTACATAGCTCAAATTGTGTATCTTATTTTGAGTTATGATGCAGTGTAGATGCACCCTGAGAGAGCACTGAAAGATTGTGCAGGGATCTGGCTACAGAAGTGTGGGCATACAAACTTTGCAAAAGCTGATTCTGTTACTGTAAGTGGAGGGTTACCAGGCTTGTTGGTTTCCTAAGCTGATTTTGTCCTGAGCCAGAAGGCACCCTTTGTTTCCTCTGCTCCCCTTACTCCAGCAAGTTGGCTTTCCCTGAGGAACACTGAGGCTACACTTATTTAGCTGCCCCCAATTCTCCCTTCTTATTGCTGAGAAGATGAAATATTCTTTAGCAGTATTATGGAGAAAGTGCAAGCCACATGCTAATGAATAATGAGTTCCTTTGGTTGCCCCATAGTGAATGTTCGGTGTAGTAGAGGTCTATCTGCAAAAACAGGTGCTTTAGAGTACACATGCAACTGCTGTAGCTCTTGGAAGTATCAGCTCAACGGTCTCCCTTTAGGATCAGTTCTTTCATTGATGCTGTTCAATGTGTACATCAAAGACCTGCCAGCTACACTCTCACACAAGTTTATCTATGCCAATGACATCTGCTACAGTTACCGAGCTTAGTCCTTCTTAGAAATTGAGAAGATCTTGAAAAGATATGAAACCAGTGAAGTAGATAGCCTATCAAAAAATAAGAGGTTTCAGCAAGGATGCATACCTTGGCAGACAGTAGCCATCAATCTGCCCGAGTACCAGTGTGTATGTAATTATAAGAAACAAAAATTATAGGTAAGCTATAAAATCCCCTCTCTTGAGTTCTCGTAGACCTAAGAGGAGCAAGAGCTTAATGATAAGAGTTGTACTATTCACTTGTTTTTTATGGAAACATTTAGGCTCCTGTAACTATCATCTTAATGCATTTTTCTAATAGAGTAAATAAAAATTATGAATTATTACTGCGTAGTACAGTTCTTACTCCACAGCAGAAGAATAAATGGTGGCACCAGCTCTTAGCTGTAACTAGTTTCTGGTCTAACTCTAATACAGAAAATCCTATTTTCCTTTGGGGTAATGTTATCATATTCCATTTGATAGTGCACAGTGCTCTAGATTTAATGATCTTCTGCAGTTAATGATGATGAACAACTCTGCAATCAGATGTCAGGTTTTGACTGCGCCTGTTTGCAATCTCAGGTAATTACGCTCTGTTGTCTAATTGCTAACTTTATTGATGTTTTGCTGACAAGTTTTTAAGCAACATTTTGTGATTGCAGATAACTAATGGCACAGATTTCTGCTCATTATTATACTTTTACATTTGATTTCTCTGATTGCTGCAGGTGGAAACAATAGGTGATGCATATTGTGTTGCAGCAGGGCTCCATAGGAAGAGCCTTTGTCATGCGAAACCCATTGCTCTGATGGCTCTGAAGATGATGGAACTTTCAGAAGAGGTACTTACACCAGACGGGAGACCTATTAAGGTAAACTCATTGCTCTGTACTCTCAGCTAATTGCAGGAACCTATCAGTATGCTTGGTCAATCACAGTATGCCAGATTCTGCATGGTGATGCCAAGGAAGTCTGTTCTTAGTTATGAAAAATTTGCTGCATAATCAAGATGCCCCCGTATGTGGCAATGTATCTTTTGTGCATATTAATTTTGTTGATATTCCTCAACAGTAACACAGGGCTCTCTCAGTCGATTGTCTCCACATCCCATTGCCAAACTGTGGATAACTCTTATTATTAAACTGTTGGTGGGTTACCTGCCCTCTCTGTCAGGCAGAACCTCCTTACCTCTTCATCTTTCATTGTTTCCTCATGGCCTGGTATCAGAGACTAGCAAGGTGAGAAAAACCATAGATCTTTTTGCAAGAAATCCCACTTCAGTCGGTGGCATATTTAGTAGTCATCACCTCAGCCAGCAGCACAAACACAATGCATCCACAGATGACCAGATATACATTTAACAAACCATTTGTGCAGTTAGTGTAAATATTATTATAATTATGGTAGTGGTTTTCAATCGGGGTAGGTGTACTCGAGGCAAATCAGATGACCTAGGCAGATCAGACTCCTGAAAGCAGATCAGTAAGTTTAAGAACCACTGAATTATGATAACCACATACAGATTTTGCGCATACAGTTATGAAAATTGGGCCCATATAAACAATGTTCATTCTGTAAAAATAATGTTCATGTAGTCTTATGAACTACATGTAATCATGATGAAATTTGAGATTTGGCTGCAGGTACAATAATTGGGTCTATTAAAAGGCTTGTTTTATATGCAACGTATCACATTCCATTGTGACTCACATTTCTCAGCTTGTAGATGAGACCTGGTATACAGTGAAAACATTTCTAGAGTTTTGTCACTTTCAATAGAGCTAACAATAGCAGAAGTTTGAGAGGAAAATGGAGGCCCTGATCCTGTATTCCTTGCACATGTTTCAATGTCTTGTGATTTATGATGTACTGAAAGATTTCTGGATTTAGCAGAGGAAGCAGGAGAGTGGTAGTCCTGCTAGCCTTCACACATCCTGTCACCACTGCTGTAATACAGAATCTTTTCTGTGATATATTTATTTCTGAAAGAGGTATTGCTAACAGCAAATGGATTGACATTGCAACTTTGATTAGTGGGCACATCCAAAGTTCCTGATTTATTTTTTACTTTATCCATATCCAGGCAAAATCCCAGTGTGGGTGTAGGCTTATGACATCAGATCTGACCTTTCATAAATATAATATGCAGTGCAGGAGTCCTCAAAACTATTTTGCTGGGCCCCCTTTGAAAATATTTCAGACTGTGGTAAACCACTCCTCCCCTCATAATATGTTAGCAAATTACTGAACATACTCGTAGAAGCGTACTCATGATATTGCCAACTTTCTCTTCCAACTGCTCCCAGCAATATATTTTGTGATCCCATGACTCCTTACAATAGTTTTGTGACCTACTTTTGGTTCAGGACCCCAATTTGAGAAATTCTGTAATAAGGTATACATTTATATATTTCTCATTCCAGAGGCCTTCATTTGATTTATATTGGACCCTCTTGGTTATACTATGAGCAGTGGGATTGTAGTTGTATGACAATTATGATTTAAAACAGCCTCATACATTTAAAAGGGCATTAATTGAATTCAAGATCTGTTTCTTATCTCCCTATGTTTCTTCTACATATGGTAGCAACATATTAATTTTAATAGCTAGAGTTAATACTATAAAAGGAATTCTCCAGAACATTGACTTTCAGAGATAAAGGTCACTCACTGCACATGCATCATTTAATGTACTAAAATCCATAAGCATTATTTTGGCATCACTTTTATCATGCTTAAAATGCTGCCTAATTATTTAATGTGTAGTATGTGTTCCAGTGAAATGAAAAGGTTTGCTGCTTAATTCTGACTGCTTAACTGTAATCTAGTGATTTATTTAATAATATTCTATTTGTAACCTTTCTAGTTTATCAGGAAGTGAAAAGCTTCACTTGTAAGCTTATTTTTAATGGTACTGCTCTTGCTGGATATGTTCATTGTAATTTTGGCCCAAGAGTTTTCCTGCAAAGTCATTCTCCAGTATTATCTGACTATTTTTGCAGTGTGCAAAGGTGGCACTAATAGGTTTGCAGGGAGAGAAAGAGGACTCAGAGGAAAAAGCTAACATTGATTTACATGAGGCTTCTAAAATTAACTCTACAATTATGTAGATTTGTTGTGTGCAGCTGTTCCTGTTGAAAGCATAAAAACGTTGCACTATAAGAGCAATTCAAAGCATGTTTTAAGGTATGTTGCTTAACAGAGGAAATATATCATGTCTCTATGAAATGACAATGTTATAATAGCATGGGAATTAGACATAGAAATGCTTTCATTAGGGTAGAAATGCAAACATATGCTGCTTCCCTTCTGGCCTCTGTTTGCTTGTTTACTAATGACTAGTTAATAACATCAGTAGTACAGAAAATAGCTTAGCTGATAGTCAGTTAAATTGCATTAGTTTATTGTCATTTAAATTTATCTGCTTAGATTGCAATGATATAAAGCAATACAGAATTGTCTTTTCCTTTCTTTCTTCATTATCAACAGGCTTGGTAGACTCTCATAGCTTGTGTACAACTCTGATATGATTCTACCAGCCTAATTCTGGATTTGTAAACTCTGCACTAAGATTGTGGTCTTTACATTAACACTGCTATATCAGTATATCATCTTGAAGGAAATAGGGTGTGTCTACACTACAGGGTTTTGTTAACAGAAGTGGCCTTTTGTTGACAAAACTATACCTACACTACCATCGTGTTCTGTCGACAGTAAGTCGACAGAATGCGGCAGTTTTGTCGACAGTGGTAAACCTCCTTTTACGAGGAAGAATGCCTTTGTCAACAGAGATCTGTCGACAAAAGGGTGTGTGTGGACACAGGGAGCCAGTTCTATCGAAAAAAAAGGCCTCCAGGAAGAAGCCCTGGTAGACAGTCCATCTGCATGCCTGGCACCTCTATTGTTCCTGTCTGCAGCCATCTTTTAAAGGGATAGGCACCCTGCCAGCCATTAGTGGCAGGAAACCAGCCACAGCACATGGCCATTCCTGTCCCATAGGATCCCAGGCATGTCCCAGCCCCAAGACCGTCCTGGCCCTTCCAGGGATCCTCCTGAGGACCCATCCTGGGGCTCCAAATGCCAGGCACCAGCATGGTCTGGGACAGAAATAAAGAGCCTCCTCAAGGTGTGGTCCAAGAAGGAATCCTTACAAGCCCTCCACACACCTCACAGGAATGTGGAAATTTATAGCCACATGGCCCAGGGACTGGCCAGGAGAGGCACTATTCCCACACCCTGGAGCAAGTGCGGGCCAAAGTTAAAGAGTTGCGCCAGGGGTAAGTGAAGGCCCGAGATGAGAGCTCCTGCTCTGGGGCGACCCCACACTATTGCCCATACGACTTGGAGCTGGCACACATTCTCGGCTGTGGGGAAGCCCGGACACTGGTGTGTCTCTTGCAGTCTGGCTTGCTGGCCTGTGGTGGATGAACTAGAGCAGGAGCACGAGCAGTCCAGGGAATCTGGAGAGCAAGACCTGTTGCTGGAGGAGGAGGACGACGACAACACCGTGACCCTCACCCTGGAGCTGGTCACGCAGACCCCAGAGGCCTCCCAGGTGTTTTTGGATGTCAGGGAAGAACCAGTAGGTGAGTGCTGTGAGATTGTGCCACACACAGGGTGGGGGAGGTGGGTGCACAGTGGGTGATGCACAAGGGAAACATGTCATGCTCAGCCTGGACATCATGCAGCTGGCTGTGCATGTGCAAACACGTGCAGTGGTAGAGTGTGCCACGTGGGTGTGTGCCACGTGGTGCCAGGAGCCATTTCCAGAACCCACAGAGGTGGATTGGCAGTATGAGGGGCCATATGGTACCATTGGCACTTTGGGGCCCCTGTGATGCTCAGGTTGATGCCCAGCTCACACGTGGTGTTACTTTCACAACCTCTGAGTCCCCTGTCTGAAGGAGAGTCCCTTACAGCGAGGGCATGCCCTCGGGGACAGCTGTTGCACACATGACTGATTGTCTCTTCCTCTTTTCCTCCACAGGTGGGCCACCTGTGCAAGAGGGCTGCAGCACCCTAACCCTACCTCCATCTTGGGGCACAGGAGCCGCAGGCACTGGTGTGCTTATACAGAGGTTCTGAAGACGCATGTGGCAGCCCTGCAGGATCTCAACAAGACCCTGAAAGAGAGGACGGAGGCAGAGGCTCTGTGGCATGATCGCCTGCTAGAAGAGATGGTATAGCAGCACACTTCCATTTGTGCCACAATCCGTGAGGTCTGTGGCTTGCCCGCTCCTGTCCCTGGTACTGCTCCTCCGGCATGCCATGACCCTGCCCCACCAGACCCCCCTTCCCCACCACCACTCCCTTCTCCCCTTGCACCTCCCTCTCCCCCAGGCCCCTCGCTCCCCCAGCCCTCCTCTCCCTCTGGTCTTCCTCTCCCCCAGCCCTCCCAGAGCCGTGTGCCTCCCCTCTCCTGTCCAGCACTCTGTCAGTCACCCCACCCGACACCAAGGCCATGGTGGTCCCGGCATGTGAGGCAGCAGGAGTTTGCGAGCAGGGAAGCACCATCCCACCTGAACTCCCTCCCTCCTCCAGGTTCTAAGCCCCCTCCCTCTCCAGGTTTTAAGTACCCCCACCACCCCAGTTACAGAGAATGTTCGTTATTTAAGAAAATGTTTATTTTGGAATCAGAAATTATGCTTCTCCAGGTTCTAAGCACCCTCCAGGTTCTAAGCCCCCCCACAGCCCCAGTTACAGACAATGTTGGTTATTTAAGAAAATGTTTATTTTTGAATCAGAAACTTTGCTTTGAGAGAAAACTATGTACAATGAACAAAATATTTTATATTTTAGCAACATGTCTAGATGCTTTCTGTTAATGATACTGATAACAATAAAACAGAACTTATTCTTTTCAAACAAAACC